GGTATAGCGCATTAGATCATATATATAATGAATTTTGCGCTATAGAAATAATAAAATTATTAAATTATTATACGAAAAAATCCTTAGTCTTTATGCTTTCCACTTTTGCTCGAACAGCCAACAATAATGCATAAAACCATCCCTTCTTTCTCACATGAACTCTTCGTTAGATACGGTTTGTTTACGCTCGAGGGACACCAAGATGGCGGATAGTAACCGTTGCTAAGGTATTGGTCACGTGGGTTAAACCCAAGGATAGATCTAGTTGGCAGAACAATAGCCCAGCACGTGCGTTTTAAAACTTTGTACATTTCTTAGCCGTCCTTTGCAAAACATTAAAATTTGCGTCGTCTGCGAACCGAAACCGCGGCAGCAAATATTTTAACTTACATTTGGAATCCAACTCTACTTTTATGCGTTATGTTGAATCTGAGGTCTGGCGCCCTATATGAGACGGTAAACACATGCAGCCATTTTCGAAATTCTAACTAAAAGTAGAAACTCATTTTTTAATTGACGTCTTCCGTGGCGTTGCCGTCCTGACTGCTTAAGTTCTCTAATATTGGATGGGGGGAAACCCCGTACGAGTGAATCGTCTTGAAAATTGATGTTATGAAAGGAATCCAAGGCAGGTACTGTGGATAAAGAATGGTCAGTTCTGCACAACCTTAGAGGCGATGTGGGGCCCGTTTTTGTACCAGCCCTGTTGATTTTTAACCCCTGGTTACGTAATCGCAGGGTGCGAAAAGCAAAGCGTTTTCACGACCACATCGGACTGCCATCTGTACAGTAAGAGGCTTCATTTGAGACTTAGCCGTGTAAGCTTATTTGCCGACCAAAAAAAACAGAAACTATGGGCAACAAAGATGACCAAGACAAATTTAGGGAAGCTGGAGTATGACTAAATGATAGTAGGTCATGATGCAAGAAAAAAACACAACCAAACAAAAACAATAAGAAAAACAAGGTAAACATGATTATTTGAGTGGAATTACCAACCCAAGGGCTCGAAAGTCCTGGTAACCGAAGCCATGTTTTAAAACATGACCAAAATTTAAAGGATAGGAATTAAAGCAGGCTCTGGCACCCAAACCAGTCCCTTTTGTTTCTTTAGCTGATAGTTTTATTGTATCATTTTCAAAACTTTTTAAATCTCCATCTTGAATGAAAACAGAACAGCTTTACGGACCCGTTAAGTTACCATGACTTTCGAGAAACGGTCCCCTGATCAGCTTTTTGGTTAGTGCTTCCGTGAGAGAATTAGACTAATTACAACCCTTTCTAGTTCTTTCAGGTAAATGCTTATAAACACTTGAGTAGAAACAGGTTAACCTTTGCGGCAATTCAACCTGGGTTTACAAATGGCCCGGGTGCTGTAAAAAGACCCTTAGAGGAGTTATAAGGGTACCTTTCACCTTCTATAATGGTTCTACTAAACTACAAAAGGGTTCAACTTTATAGCGATTCAAACAGGGTTTACAAATGGCCCGGGTGATGTAAAGAGGCCCTTAGAGGAGTTATAAAGGTACCTGTCATCTCCTGTACCGGATCCGCTACAGCATCTCAGGCCTTCAGCACAGTTGAGGTGGGGGGCAGCAGGGCAGTTTACTGTCTTGTAACAGTTTCCCCAAGGAAAGCCATTTGGAAGTTGGCACGATTCTCCCGCTTGACTAACTGTTCTTACATTAAGTTTTTTCTTTCTCCAACCTTTGTACAAATGCACACATCAGAAAAGTTTAGCTAGCACAACTAACCCCGTTGGGTCCGCTTCAAACCATTATGTTTTATATGGAGGTGTAACCTCATTGAACCTTGGTCGGAGTAAGGGCAGTCTGCGCAAGGCCAGGAAACAAAACATTTTTGTGAGAAAAAAAACTAAATTTGCCGACTTAAGTTCTCTGGTGATCTGTTAGCCCGAAGAAATTAGGGATCAACCACCAAATGGCCACCTATCGTCGATCATCTAAACAGCTTTCTATTTTTTCTATCATAATTTTTCCTTCGCCATCGACCGCTTGAGATACCTTCAATTGGGATCCTCTGTTGGAATAAAGAAAACTTTACTTTCCAGACGGGTAAACAAGCAATTAGAGCCATAATGGTGGCGTTACACGATCTTCGACCAATCAAGATAGAGTTGATCAATTTAAACTGGTTTCTTTAGAGCTTACCTTCCGTAGTGCAACAAAGCAGAGCCACCAAGGTAATGCAAACCAAGACTTTCATGACTTCACTTCTGTCAGCATAGAAGAAAGTAAAAAAGGCGCTAAGTTTCATTAGTAGAACAAAGTCGAAGAAGAACGAATGGGTAAGGCTTTCTTTCTTATCACAACCTAACTGCACAATTACGAAAGCGGTACAGCAAAAAAACCTTTTCTAAAAGCTCGGTTTCAACTGATACTTACAGCAACTGCTTGGGTAGGATTACCAGACAAGCGCTTATCATTCCTTCCACACCTGTGCGATGTCCGTCTGAAAAAGTTTAACTCCGAGTTTTTTGTTCTCTCGAAACGACTTTCAATTACACTTTCTATACCATCGTGGTCAAGATCTGGTCGAATGAAGGTAAATTTGTAATAAAGAAATTATAATTTACAGAGCCACATCGATACTTATTCACCGTCAAAGTTGCTTGAAAAACTATGGTTAATTTTGTTTACACAACAATAGCTTTTAAAAGTGTAGATGGTGCCTTATACAAAGACAGTGCGGACTTCTTTTCCAAAACTTCTAGAGTATGTAGTTAAAGAAATAAAATTTTAATTTTTTCTGGCAAAGGTTAAGTTGCTCTTACAGCAATGATAACAACATTTCGGCTATAAGAAGAACCAAACCCCTCCAGAAGTCGGGATACCACCCGTAAAAATAAACCAAAAGTGATAGGAACAGGTGTTGTCTTTGTCTAAAGCTCTTTTCCAAAAGAAGAGACAGCAAAAGGTTACCTCGATAGCGACCTGTGTTAAAAAGGTGTAAACTGGCAACTAAAAGGAGCGCATACTTAGTTGAATATAACTCGCTGATAAGGTCGTCATTGAACTTGTTTTCTTTTGGTTGCAACTCAAACGAAATCTGCTTTTTTCTCTGCATGGACTGAATAAAGACATCAGTAAATAAGTTGCAATGATAGCAAAATTTCGGATATCAGAAGAACTAAACCCTTCCAGAAATCAGGTTAAAACTTGTACAAATAAACCAAAAGTAATAGGAACAGGTCTTGTCTTTGTCTAAAGCTATGTTCCAAAGGAAAAGACATCAAAAGGTTACCTCAATAACGACCTGCGATAAAAATGTGTAAACTGGAAACTATTACGGGCGTAAACTTCGTTGAATATACCAAGCAAATAAGGTCATTATTGAACTGGTTTTCGTTTAGTTGCAACTCAAAATAAATCTTCTTTGTTTCCTGGACATTACAGACATCATTGGACAGGGAAATATTAACACTTTTATCAGACATTTAGGGAACTTTGATAAGACATAGTTTATCAACATCTGACATCTTTGACCGTCATATAAGTATGAACGCATGAGGAGCGAAAACGACTTCTATGTACGCTAAGCTTAACACAAAGCACTGAAAAGAAATACTCCGAACAATATAGTAGAACAATATAATACAAACAACTTGAATTAGAATGAGATGAAGTAACAATGAGAAAGATGGGAGCAGATAATTAAAGGGAACTTATGGTAATTATAAAGGAAGGGTTAAAGTTCCAGATATTGAATAAAAACTACGAATTTAATTTTTTTTGAGGAGGCTGAAATGATATTTTTACATGACAATGCTGGCTCCGTTAAATGTTCAGGCGAGGATCTTAAATTGTAGTGGACAATTCCACTCTGGGCTTCTTCAACTTTGTAAAGGATTTTAGCTCGGCCTGAGCTGAAGTAATGTAGATCAATAGACGTTTTTTAATGAATTTTTAACCGTAAAAAGTAAAGCAAACAAACAATTAAGGGTGCCTTTGGGGGACACCTGCTTGGCTCCCATTGACGTTTCTTTTGCCTGGCTTCAAAATAAAAAAGAGTGCTACTAAGACCAGTCATGTTTTGGGAAAAAAAAAAAAAAACTATCGAGACTACTAAAACGTAACCAAAATCTACGATGATTTCAGCTCACGTGCAAATTCCAATCTCCATATTCACAATTAAAAAAAAAAACTTCTGTCCTCTCTCTAATTTGTCAGTTTTCATTTCGTCTCTATTCATTATGTCTTCCAAACTTACTGAAAAAACTGTTTGTGTTTGACGGCATTTTTCCCCTAAAACAAGAAAGCAAAACCAAATTTTTCTTAATGCATTTCTCGTATTTGCATCTTTTTTATTAATACTTAGTCGTCTAGATAATGATCTTTTGTTTATTGTCATACTAGTAAACGAGCCACGACACGAAATTCTATATCAGCCAGTCTTCATGGTTAGAATTCATTTCGCCTTCCTATCAGCAAAATTTTTCATAAAATAAAGGAAGTTGAAATAAGCTGGAGAGGAACAAACTCGACACACATAAAAAATTCTTTACAGAATCTGTCGCGTAACTAACGCAACATAAAATCGCCCCATTGATTTGAAACTGTAATTACCCGCACATGGAAAAATAGGCCTTTTTGATGCAGTAAACCATCTACACGGTCGAGAAAATTGTACAATTGCTGCGGTCAATTCCTCATCTGGAGGTGTGGAAAGCAAAGCTTGGACTTACCAAGCGCACAGGAACAGTTATTGAGCCTAACATGAGTATGACAGTTGTGAATTTTTACATTTAATAAAACTGACGAATTAAAACATAGTTGTGTCTGGTAGGTCCTACAAACAGAACACTCGAACACTGGTAGAATTGTATGAACCTCATTATATCGCACGAGATCAATAAAAGTGAAGATTTTCCTCAAAAATTCTTAATTTTTTTTCTTCGTTCCTAGCCACAAATGTTCTCACCTTAATTTTCTTAAAATATTTAAAAATTGACAACCTCTGAAAAAAAACTTTTCAACATGAAAGTGGAAGAGTCCGTACACATGCAAATATACACAAGTCAAAGAGTCGAATCCGGTTTTGTTAATTGGGCTAATTAAAAAATGTCTTCGAAGTTTGTGAAATAAAAAACGCAGTAGTACATGTGAGTTTTTTCTTATAATTCCATCACGAAAAGACTCGTGAAACGTTTTCAGCCATCAGTTCCTCATATATATTTCTAAAACTCTTCAACCTGGACGTACAAGTCCCCGCATGTCCCCCGACCTTTTCTTGAAATATTTCAAAGTTAACGACCTCTGAAAAAGACTAATCACCATGGAACTACAAAAATCCGTACACATCCAAATAAACACAAGTCAAAGACTCAGACCCAATTTTGTCAGTTGGGCTGATTTAACTGAAACGTTTGCGATGTTTGTGAAATTAAAATGCAGTAGCTTATGTGAGTTTTTTTATAATTCCATCTTGAAAAGGTTTGTGAGACGTTTTCTCCTCATACATTTTTCTAAAACCATCTTAGGCCTGGACGTACTTCACTTTAAATGTATTCGTTTTTTTTAGTCATTGATCGGTGCTGGTAATGAGCAAACAAAATTCTTCTTTCACACTTAAAGTCTGAATTAGGACGTATGGGGAGAAACAGGCTTCTTTGTTATAATTACACTTTAAACTCACTCAAACTATCACTTTCACTCGGTGAAAGCGTAATTTCATCATTGATTGATGTTCCTTTTAAGGGTTGATCCGATTTTACGGTATCTCTTACATCAAAATGGCGTTTTGAACCATAAATGAAAAGATTATGTATCCAAAGAATACATCTATCTTATTGTCTGGTTAAGAGTTATAACACCCTCAGCACGAACAGCTCATTTAAAATTTGCCCCGTTTAACGTTTAACCTTTTTAAAACGCTGAAAAAGTTGACAAGAGTGAATATCACGTACCTCGATAAGAAAAAGTCCTTTGTTTGGAATATAGCTGAATGTGGCGTCCTTTCCAGAGCAGAATACCCTATTGTTCGTTTCTTTTTGTTTTAAGAAGCGTGATGCACACGTAAAAGATAGTGATCAAACGTTTCCGCGCAACAATACACCTTTATGTTAATCATATCACGTGCAAACTTCGTCAATATTCGCATTTCATTAATATTTGCTGTTCGAATTCGTTGTCAAAGGAACGGCTTCCAATTGGTTCTTAACCAAGCAAAATTACAAATTACCTCGTCACCTTCCGTAATGGCGAAGCGACGAGAATTCCCGCAACCTGATTGGTTATGAAGTATTAAACGCTCGAAACGTCAGCTTTTATAATCGTAACGGTGGCCAATTTACCATTTCAACTTTGTTGATATATTCAAATTATGAAGTATTAAAGGTGAGGTGGTTTCCATGCAACTTGCTGCCTGTTTGAAAAACTTGAAACAGAAATGGGTGTCAAGTCGCATAGAAAGATACATTGAAGTGTACAATGTAAAGTAGCGATAAATTTATAATGGCTTCATCTTACATGTGAAAGTTTTTTTTGCAAACAGAGGTGTGTTTAAATGACTGTGAATATATGAAAATCATATATGTGAACATCAAAGCGATCTTCACAGTACTATACACTACTCGAGAGGTGCAAATGAGTATCAAAGCGATCTTCGCAGCCGATGAGCACTACTTTAGAGGTGTATTTGGCATGCTAATTGCAATTTTACATTTAAAAAAAGAAAAAGAAGGAGATCCTTGTGAGAAGCCTCAATCAAAATTCGGAGTCGTTCGTTTTCAGTCTCAAATCGCTGTCGAGGCCCTACAACGCATGCTCCAGGAGCGAAGTGAAAAGTCATTACAAAGCTATTGAAAAAACTCCTTGTAATTGATTACACCCCCCCTCTATACTTTTGAAATGCTTTTTTTCACATGTCATTCACAAGGCTAAGTTTATAAGGATACGACAGTTGCACATAGAATAATAATGAAAATCGTTAGAAGACAGAACCATTACCGCCGCAGAGTACAGGAATAGACGCATCTAGTTTAAGATTATTTCTAAGAGGCTGTAGCGCTACCGTGGTGATCTTTGCCTTCAATTGATTATCACGAGGCCTCTAGCATTAGTGGGAAGGATATCTTATTAAACTCGCTAAACTTCAACTGCCTTGAGTGTACTTCGATCGTCGACAAACATAAGTTGAAGACTGAGTCAGTCTTTCAGCCACCAGAAGAGATTAAGCTCAGAACCGGGTTTGACTGAATGATAAATCAGAAACGGAGAACTGAAAAAGTGCATTGTCCAAAGGATTCAAGCACTCTCAGTGTGCTACATTTGAAGTCAACGAACAGGTCTGACAAGCTTCTTAGAAGATAAAAAAATCAAAACCGTGTTTAACAAACCGTGTTTAAGCTTCGGTGTGAATCAGGTATTTGTCAGACAATGAAGTAGCTTTAGATCGAGTCTTCCATCCTGCGAGATTCGTTTTCAAGCAGCAAAAATATTTTTCGTTTTCAAGTATTCCACCACCATTCTGCATACGAGAATAACACAATCACTCCTGTGATTCAATATCCCAAGTACTTGCTGTTTTCGCACTTTTTGATATTGGTTACAATCGGTCATGCAAACACCTATACAGCTGTTCCGAGAAAGGTTGTCGGAAAAAAGTCTAAAAGTGCACACGACAACCCCAAAAGTTGTTGTGGGTAGTTTCCAGATCATGGTTCCTTAAGTTCAGGATTTCAGGAAAATCTGACGAAACGTCTCTGTAATGACGAGGCATCGCACATCTGATGAAACCACCGGGGGCCCATACAATCTGTTTGTGTAGCCGAGTTGTTTTATATAGTGAATGTATCAGATTTACCGTTTGCCTCACTTATAGTGATATATTGCTGACTATGTACATAAATCATTGATAAATAAACGTTGAATTACTTTACCTGTGGTGTATAGTTGTCCTTTTGCCTCAAAAATGTTTTTTTGAGCGATTTTGAATAACTCTGAGTTCGTCGTTAATGTAATGCATAAAAGAAAGGCTTCCACCCTTGTCTTTCTTTTATGCATTACATTAACAACGAACTCAGACTTATTCAAAATCGCTAAAAAAAAACATTTTTGAGGCAAAAGGACAACTATACACCACAGGTAAAGTAATTCAACGTTTATTTATCAATGATTTATGTAAAGAAAGCTGTTTTTTCACTTGAAACTTGCCACCCCTTATTGCTGTCGTCTGCTTACCTCTAGGCTTAGATAAATTATGCCAGCATCATTTTAAGCATAATGCTGTGGTCAGAACATCATCGAGTATAAAGCCGGCCGAGAGAAAATAATGCCGGAGACAAAGAGAGAAAATTAGGGCGTCGATCGGGAAATGACGATTTCAATTAAGTTATTTTTAGGTACGTTGGGTGGAAAGCATTGTAGTTTCCTTGTGTAGTTTCTTGTACATTTCACCATAGGCTCATGCTGCAGAAGGGCTTTACGTTATTGCATGGTTTCTCCTCTTTTCTTACTTCTTTCGTTAGGCCAGGATACAAAAATGCCGAAAAATGGCCTTAAATATATCTGGGAATTCTCCAAAAGATGTTTACAAATCTTGTTTTTATCTCTAAAAATCTCGAAATTTTATTTTAAAAATCCTGATCTCAATTTTTTTTAAAATAATCACATAACTTGCACAAAATGCGAGATTCCTGTTGTGAAATTCCATGGAAGCATCTTTGACCTGATTCAGAATTATCATTTATTTACTTGAGCATGCAGGTGGTTTGTCTCCTTACATATTTCTCTTTCAGACACTAACTGCAATGAACAGTTGGCTAAGTTTGACATTTCATCTGGTATAACTGTGGCCAAAAACTTGACAACTACTGCTATTACAAAGGTACCTGGCGAAGTACTATTTGTGACCAGGGACTGACACTAACTTCTTAGCTATTGGCTGTATTTTTCTATATATTGTGGTCTTAAAGTCCTTAGATGTTCTAAAAATCCTCAAATTTTCTGAAAATCCAACTTGACTCTAACTTGGCTCAACTGACCTTGCCTTTAACCTGTTTACCCCCATGAGAGACCAATACAGAATTTATTTTCACATTATCAATACGAAATCAAGCATACAAGTGATGTATATGCAGCACGTAAATGAGAAATATGCCTTTTCTTGGCAAAAAAAGTAATATTTATTTAGTTATTCTCCTTACAGTCTGCCATACAATTCTTTGGATGTTTGTTTGGAGAATTTGGTATTGGATCTACCCATATCCCCTTATCAATGTTTATCTTTATTCTTGTCAATTGCCTGCTTGATTTTGTACTGATATTATAAAGAAAAATTCTCTCTTTGTCACTCATGGGAGTTAAAGTGTTACTGGAAAAATTTTTGTCAGTTTGGGAGTAAACAGATTTAGGATCTTTACTTATTATGATCTGGTACTTAAATTTAAACTTAGCAAAAAAACTACATCCTCCATACTACAAAAATATCATTTAAACCACACTGGTGCTTTGAGTGTAATTTTAATAATAATTTACTTGAATTCCTGAAATATCTTTCTGAGCTACATGTATGTCATATTAATGAATATTCATGATACAATTATTGGAGACTTAAATAAATGTCTGTGTACAACAATGCATAAAATACAAAAGAATCCTGTTATTTCATAATTTTACTTTTATCCCATGGTAAATTACGTTCTTAGAAATCAATTTGACTCTGTTTAATTGATTTTGCAAATAACAAATGGCTGGCAACATTATTTCAAGCAGCAGTAGAGCTGCAACTCTTATTTTTGCAATTCAATTGTGAAATTAAATGCTGCAATATGAGAATGCCCTTTTAACTCAGTCTTTAGTGTAACAACCACTTTGCAGGTAATGCTTCTTAATTTCCAAAGGCATTTCTAAATAACTCACTTGACAATTGCAACATTTAACTGTGAAACAAAAGGAATGTCCTAATTCGAGTTATTGCTTTTCTAAGAACAAGTCATTTAACTTTTTGTCATATGGGTCAAAAGATGCTGTAAAGTTAAGCATAGCGTGACAAACAATTTTAAAGTAGGCTTTGATTACATAATTACGAAAGTGTCGAAATTACGAAAGTGTCCTCCCATATCTGTGAAATTGCGGATACGTGGTAATTAAGTTGTTTATTCCAAGGGAAACTCATATTATCTTCTGTATTTTGTATCACGTATGATTTAGCTACCATTATGTATATAAGATCCTTGATTCAAGCAATAAAGTAGATTAAGTTGATTGTAAAGCAGTTGAGTGTCTTGCACCCCGTGTGCGGGCTCGCGTTAAACCCAACATTTGCCTAAGCATCGAAACAGCTCGATGCTAACCGACCCTCGGCGGAAATTATACTACATAAACATTAAGTGAATAAACTGTAATCCTCATCAACCCATGCCTTGTTAATAAGCAGTTTTGCACAATGACGAGGCAGTTTTCCATTCACTTATGCACAGCAGAGAAACTATTTTCACTTCCTTGATTCACTGAAAACTATTCACCTAATGTGCAAACAAATGTGTCAGCAAGGGTCTCAAAATCAAACAATCTCAGGAAACTGAAATTTTTCTTTGGCATACTATAATGGAAAACATTTCAAATTTTTCTTTACATTTCTACATTTCATTATCACAATGAAAGACATCACTAAATTTTCCTTCCAATATGTAGAAAAGAGAAAATCTTTAACACTAGGCATGGACATTAATCAACCACAGCATTGATGCATCTCAACCCTGTCGATCCCAAGATCTCATTTGTGATTCTCCTTACTGTGTGCTGTACAACTCTTATGATGTGAGTTTGAGAATTTCACATCAGATAAACTAATATTCCCCTAATTGATGTTTTCCTCTTTAATTTCATTGCTTGTCTGCCTAATATTGTTTAGATATTGTAAGGAAAAACTCTGTCTAGGTCTTTCATAGGAGTAAAAGCTTAGGTTAACAAATTACAAATTTACCATTATAACCATGACTATTTCCATACGACCTATGAATGATAAATCAGATTTGAACTTTGGTTTTACCCCGTGTCACCTATCAAAAAAGGAAACTTTAACCTGTTTTAACTAAGATGCATTTCAAGCAATTATCATACTTTACTTTCGAGAAACTTGCTGTAGTTTCATTTCCAGTTCTGCGATTTTCATTTCCTTTTCCAGGAGCAAAGCTTGCTGTTTCTCAACCTTCTGCTGTAAAGAGCTTCTCTCGTCCTGAAGTTCTGCCACCATTTTTCCATAATACTTTTTACACATGTCCAACATTGTCTTATAACCATCAGCATCCATGTCCTCGCTTGACTCTTCGGATCGATGATTCTGATCCTCGCAAATAAGCTCTTTTAAATTAAATCTTCGTTGCTCTTCATTAAGTCGAATTTCTTCGAGATCAAATATCACCGCTTGTGCCATTGATTCGACAGTTCCTTTCAATACTTCGTTCTCCTCCTTTAATTTCTCGAGTTTCGTCTCAGATTCCTCGCTGGGGCTGTCGATACCTTGATCCCCGTAAGAGTCTGTTTCTGATTTATTCCGAGCCCTCACCTTCTTCTCAAGCTCGCTAGAAAGCTGCAAAGCCTTATCCCTTTCATCTTCTAAAGCCCTGATCTGTTCCAGTAATGTCATAATAAGAGACTCATTGCTTGACTTCGCCATTCCGTCTTCTCCTTTTCTGTACGTATACAGAGAGATGTGTTACGATAGTTCGGGTTTGTGCGTGCGCCTTTGAATCTTCCAGAATCTTCAAACAACAGATAACAAGAAACGTAAACTTGATCGCAGAAAGGTCCCAAACAACTTGAAAAAGATAAACAATCCGCGAAAAAGGTCCGAGATTCTAAATCTCAAAAAGCGCTAATATATTAAAAATATTGCGTTAATGTTCAGTTTCCACAATACTTAAAGGTTCACACAGAAAGAGATAAGAAGCGCCCTGCGGCCATATTGGAAATAACCTGGAGGTGGATTGTGGGCCATATTTACCCAGCGGTTTCTCGCAGTTCAGTATTCAATGAAACAAAAATAGAACTAAGAAATGGAGAAAATTTCGTCAATTTACGAGGCGAAATAATACGAAAAAGGCTAAACAACCTAGGTGTAGTAACGCAGGCAGAATGTTTGATAACTTCAGGGATCGTTTGCAAACAGTACAACATGATCTGACCCAAGGGTCAGGGCGATTGTTGTTGTAGAGTTTTGCACGAGTATTGGAAGAAGCCAACGATCTTTACTCGGTTTTGATTTTTTTCCTCCTTCAGCTGGAAATCAATCGCAGATAAGGCCAAAGCTGTCAATAAGAAAATAGTTAGGTCAGTCTATCATTATGTAGTGGTGTAGTTTTACCTTTACTTAAGCTTGTATATTGCTGCATAATCAAGGTTAATTTTTGCATCCTCAACTACAACTTTAACTTGCGTAACGGCTCTCTACACCCTAACATCATTTTTTTATATTATTATATACAATCTCATTAAATTCTTTGTGAAGTTCACAACGATAATTTTTATAACAGTGGATACCCATTATACCCATGACCATTGTATCCCAGGCACAGGCCTTCAGTGGGAGGGGGGGGGGATATTAAATGGAATGGCAATTTTAGTTCAAGGCTGATACAATTAGGAAAACATAGATGCCAGTCACTCATAGGGAATTATGTTACAATAACCTTAAGTAAAGAAATTCTCTTTTATTGAACAGGCGAACAACATTCATCACAGATGAAGTCATTGAAAGGTAGGTTCTCGGAACAGGACATTTCCTTCATGTCACGTACTATAGTTCTGCATACATCTATTGGTGAAGCTGTGCTTGTCTCTCTGCTGCATTGCAATAATGTTAAATGGAACTCGTTCAGGTCTGTATTTTTGGAGGTTTATCATTAAAAACCACACAATGTAAATTACCTAACAAACACAAAAGACAAAAGGCACACAAACAGTTGACCAATGCAAATAAATATTAACCAATCGGAACGGTTGACATAACTGCATAAATAATCATAATTCTCACAAATAATTTCTGATTGATGAATTAGCTATTGTTTTCGTAGCATACCATATTTATTCAATTTAGTGCCTAGCCTTGAATAAGCAGCCCCCCAACCCCACCTACCCCCTCCTCCCTAAAAAAACAAAAAATTAAAAGAAAAACTGAAGTGCACAAGTGAGTAATGATTATTAATTTTTTATTGGCTTACTTACTTACTGCCCATCATGCCTGTGTGGCGCATAGGGCAGTAACAAAATCCTTCAACCCTGCCTATATATCTTTAGCCAGTTTTTCAATGGTGCTCCAGCTGTAATTGAGCTCCCTTAGTCCCTTCTCTACAGTCCTGCGCCAAGTTGTTTTTGGTCGCCCTCTGCTTCGTTTGCCTTCAGGTGTCCAGCGCATTGCAATTCTGGCTATGTTGTTACTGGGCTTCTGCATCACATGTCCAATCCACCTTCATCTTCTCATGGTGACAAGTGCACGCATATCCTCCTGCTTGGTTCGCCTCAGTGGCTGGTCGTTTGATATTTTCTGAGGCCAGAAGATTCTCAGAATCTTCCTGAGGCTAGCTGTGTGGAAGGATGCTAATATTGAGAGATCTTGTTCTGTATTACTTTATTGGCTTGGAATATTTAAATTCACTGTCTATAGTACATCTTCACATGTTGTTATTATTCATCGTTTTGTTGTGAAATAAACTTGTAACTTTTATATACAAGGCTAAAAAGTTAAAGGTTAAAATCAAACGTTTTTGGCTGTTTGCCATCATCAGGGTGATGATGGCAAACAGCCGAAAACGTTTGGTTTTAACCTTTTTAATAACTTTTTAGCCTTGTATATATAATAATTTCTTATTAAGCGAACATTATGGACAAACTTGTAACTGGTACTATTTTTTTTTTTTGAATAAGCACTCAGCTTTGAATAAGTGCCCTCTCTCAAGGTCCAAAAATCTAATATGCATTCAGGGTGCATCATTGAATAAATATGGAACATGTCATGGCTATGAATTTAATATTGTAAGTTTTGCACCTGAAAGGAGCATGAAGCACTCAATAAAATGCAAGAAACTATTGAAGTTCTAATGATGCAAATTACTAACATGCTGACCCAATGAGCCTTTTTTACGTTGTCCTTTTAGGAGAGTTTTGATGTTAGTTTAGTTGAATCATCATTAATATTTTATTGTTTTTCATGATTCATAGTGGAGACCAGTGCTTTAGTTGTAATCTTGAGGCAGGATCTGAAATCCTAAGCAAGTAAGTGATAACTGAGTACTACAAGTATATATATATATGCCAACCCTCCCTGATTATCCAGGTGTCTCCTGGATACACAGTCAATCTCCCGCTTTCCCGTATAGATGACCAAAACTCCTGGATAAAAGAATGTTTGGATCAGTTGCCCACAAAAAACTAAGATTTAAGCTCCATGTGTTTCAAAATTCCAAAATCATCTCGCTTCTTATGCTTGTATTACAGTTTCTGGCTTCATTTTCTTATGTGATGCATGTTGTTCATTACAAACAAAAAGAAGAGAATTTCTTCTTTATTACTCCAATATAAGTGAGAGTTTGATTGGCTGAGTATTCAACCAATTGAAGTCCCTGACAGATAGATTCATGTTTTTCCCACAAAATTGCTCAGCATGTTCGCTGATACTCAAATGTCCACAGTCTGAATCTCAATCACGGGGGGGTAGGAGGTTCAAATAAAAAAAGAGAAATTTTCCAGGGGGGGGGGTCATATCAGTGAATTTGGTTGGGAGATGCTGGTCTGAAAAAAAATCTCCAGATTTGAGATCTCCAGAGGCTGGCATATCTGCAAGAACTGGTAATTCGAAATAAGAAAGAACTGACATTTTTCCACTGCTGTTGTCTTCTCAAAAACATCTGTTTTCCCTTGGGCCTGTGAACCACAACATGTAGATGAGCATCTTGTACGTTGACACTCATCTTGGGATGTTTCTTTTGTTACCATCAGACTGGTGCATTGGCTTACAAATAAAATATTTGACTATGAATCAATAAAATGCAGAGAAAGAACTGATTACATTTTTTTGTAATAAAAGTGATCGAGCCATGATTAGCTGTTTTTAAAATTTTACTTTCTGTATGAATGTTCACATTTCAATACACAACTAATAACGTAGTAATTATATGAACAAAAGGGGTATGCTACATGGGTGGGAATAATGATAATTTTAGTTCTTTCAACTGAGTTGATAATGTAAATATTAATTGGCGGCTGTAATGAGTTTTGAAGATGTTTCAAGGGTTAGCCCTTTGTCAGAGTGAAAGAAGAAGGGATAATGCTCGAATTGTCAGCTTCAAAACTCTCTATGGTGGCCAATTTACATTTTGTCAACTCAGTTGATAACACAAAAATTACCTTGTAATTATAATATGCATTTGTTGCATAAATTATGTATTTTCTGAAGTTAGTTTGATTAATTTTCCTTTTTTGTTGTTGTTAGGAAAAATGTCTCATCTCAGTTTCAACATGTTTAACTTTGACTACACACAGCTTTAGATTAATTAATTAATATCAATTATTTATCATGATTGCAAAAATAATGTGTAAAACATTTATTAGGTTCCAAAGAGAATGGGCAGAGCTTCATGAAGCATCCAGGGAATGTGCAGAGAAAGGAGAGGTCAGTAAACTCAACTAATGCAGTAAATAAGTATTTTTTTTTTGTCATTCTGTGTGTTTTACTTTCAATTTGTTGTCATTGTTGTTTATTTTTAAATCTTCCTATTCCAGAGGGCTGATCAGAGTATTGCAGAGTTTTCCAAGAAGTGTTCAGAATTACACACCAACATGACAATGTTCCATGCAGAACTGGCTTTACTACCTGAAGTGATAAAAAACATTGAAACAGCCAAGGCAGATATAGGTGATTACCTGTTACATTTTGATGTAGAACACATAACAGGTGTGAATATTTGTAATGAGTATGAATTTTCACAGGTCTGGAATAGTTGCAACAAGGTATTTAATACTGACACTGAAATTCTCATAGATAGAAAGAAAACTAGTAGCCTACAAGCAAGCCCTCTTTATCAGTGCTTTGGCATGAGTGTTTCTTCATCTGTGAGACAGTATAAGGCTGGCCAGAGGTCTGCCAGCGGGAGTTTAGAACTGAAAATAGTGCCAGACCCTCTCCAAACTTCTTCCCGTCTTGTCTCAAATCTTCCCTCCTGGGCAACCTGCTGTTTTTTTTTTAATTTATTGAATATGTTATGGGTGTCCTACAGTTTTGTATATGAGGGCTTGCTTGTGAGCTAAAATGCCAGTATCATGTCTGATTGTACATTAAAATAAAGCTGTTTTTTTATTTAATATTAAACATCTCATGGTAAGCTTATGTGGTAACTGTAACCAACCAATTTCTGGCAGTAGAAAAACAGAACACATCAGTAAGCTACATAAACACACCATATATATTGGGTTCTTGTGCAAATTACATTAAATTACATACTCAGCTATCTATTGGCTTACAATCAGTTTTGTGTGATATATTGTCAGATGCCTTTGGTGGACAGATAGAAGTGTTGGATAACTTGATGATAGACTTGGAAGAGGTTTGTGAACAGCTAGACTTAGAAAGAAGGAAAGCTGCACAAAGACTCAAGCTTTCCAAGCTCAGACATAACAGAGAGTAAGTTAAATGTCTTGATGTTTTTTGTTCAGTGTTAAGTAGCAGTTATTAAGAAGCAGTACATAGCCAGAGCACGACCCTATGGGACACTGGCAAATTACTCTAATTGATAGCTTCCCCAAAGAAGCCTTTTTTATTTACTTATTACCTGTTCTCTGCACATTTTAAACATTCCAATGAGTGGCCAGCTACCTACAGTTATGGTTTTCATAGTTTCCCAAACACTTTGATGACTGGGGTCTTCTGTAATAAGCATTGCGATAGTTTTCCATTAATCTTGAATGGGACAGAACCTTTGATGATTAAAAATACCTATAAATAAAATAATAAATAAATAAATAATAAATAATGTAGCAATGGACATTCCAGTGGGTGGCTCTTCTTGTCCACTGTTTCCAGATCAAATTGGAATTTGGAATGTTGGTTTTTGTGGAGGGAGGAAAATCAGAGGATCCGGAGAAAAACCCTCAGAGCAAGGATGAGAACCAACAACAAACTCAACCCACATGTGATGCCAGGTCCGGCAATCAAACCCAGGCCACAGTGGTGGGAGGCGAGTGCTCTCACCACTGCGCCATCCCTGCTCCCCNTAAAACATGCAGAGAAATGAAAGCAGTATAATTGAACAAGTGGAACCAAAATTCTCTTTTAACCCATTCCCCACTCACTGCACCTCTGAGAAAGTTATTAATTTACTCTTTACACTCTAACACCACTGTGCATATTCTCCATACTGTTCTATATACAAATGATAAAGGCTGGTAGTTTCTAAAGAAACTGTTTGGGGCTGCGTCGGTGGGGGTAACGAAATAATTTGGATATATCAACAAAGTTGAAATGGTAAATTGGCCACCGTAACGATTACAAAAGCTGACGTTTCGAGTGTTAGCCCTTCGTCGGAGCAAATAGAGGAATTGTGGGTTGTGTGTGCTTTTAAAAGGCAGAAAATGGAGCTACGTTATTGGTGGGAACATGGCAACGAGAAAAACACGAATAAATTAGTGGAATGAAAAGCGTTCGTTGATCCCTGTGGGATTTAGACTGCCGGTTTGAAAGATGAGCTTGTGTTCAAGAGTTTTATGGCTTTCTGTGCTACCTAAGTGTAAGGAAAGACTGCAGATTGCCATATGTTGCTTAGGATGATTAAGTAAATTAAAATGTCTAGCGACTTGTTTCGATGTGTCCTTGTTATTCCTTTCCATGTCTCGAAGGTGTTCTCGGAATCGGTCACCTAGTCTTCTGCCTGTTTCGTCAATGTACATCTTTTTGCCATGTTCCCACCAATAACGTAGCTCCATTTTCTGCCTTTAAAAGCACACACAACCCACAATTCCTCTATTCGCTCCGATAAAGGGCTAACGCTCAAAACGTCAGCTTTTGTAATTGTTATGGTGGCCAATTTACCATTTCAACTTTGTTGATATATCCAAATTATTTCGTTACCCCCACCGACGCAGCCCCAAACAGTTTCTTTAGAAACTACCAGCCTTTATCATTTGTATATAGAACAGTATGGAGAATATGCACAGTGGTGTTAGAGTGTAAAGAGTAAATTAATAACTTTCTCAGAGGTGCAGTGAGTGGGGAATGGGTTAAAAGAGAATTTTGGTTCCACTTGTTCAATTATACTGCTTTCATTTCTCTGCATGTTTTATAATTCAAACTAACTGGAATGTCAGAAGGCTGTGATGACATCTCAGCTAAATCAGATAATTAATGTGGTAAACCTTGTCCTCAAAGGTCAGCAGTAAGTTTTGTGATGAAGATTTGTAATAATAATTGCTCTTCAAATTGTCTCAGGGGAGCTTCAATTAGCTAAGGAAAGGAACGAAGTTAAAATACAGCAACTGGAGAGACAAGCATCAATAGAAAAACGACAAGTCTATGAAGATGCCTTTCTTGAACAAATGAACTACTACATACAGCATGGCAGAACAGAAGGTATTAGAAACAAAATACCGGGCTTTAATTTTTACATGCTGTTACTTGTCAAAACATCATTCTTTGCATGTAAGTGTGATTAAATGCATGGTAGGTGAATTTATGTATCGTATGGTGAATCCAAACATTTACTTGATCAGATGTCACCATCCACACTGAGTGTGGAAGGAGAAAGTTTGCCCATCAAAATATTCCTCTATTACATTAGTTAATTCATAACAAACCAACTTAAATTTCTTTGAAACCCAGAAAATTTTGAAAATCAGAAATATTCATGACATGTTGTGTTTCAATTGGCATGAGAAAGCTAAATGGCAAATGGTGATGGCAATAAGTTTGCGCTCTTGAGGTTTGCTTGCATTTCCATAACTATAAGTGATTGGTCAGGACACAAATGACCTTCAGAATCAAATCAAAGTATATACAGTTTTCTCAGTTCTGCTGTAAATAACAAGTAAGACTTGTCAAATTCACAGTTAACTTGAAGCCTGTCTTTCAATTAAAAATTGCGTCTGTTAGAACCAATCAGTTTGGTGCATGGTCGCAGCAGTGGATCTCTGGATGATATCATGTTAGAAGACAACAGTGATATGGATAAGGAGCTAGATGATTTCTTTGGCTCAGAAGCTGAGGTCAGTCAGTCTTGAAAACCCCTGGACTTTTACCTTACATGGATACCATAGCTGTCACTAAGTACCTCTTCTGTGTATTAACCCTTTCTTTCCCAAGATCAAAACTTCAATTCTCTGCATTGTCTGTCTTACATTTTTCTTGATTTATGCTTTGGGAATTTGGTACCAAATCAAACAACATCCTTTAATGGATCTTTTTCTGTCTTCTCATTACCTTTCTGCTTAAAAATGAATTGATAATAAAAGAAGAAATTCTTCTTTAGTCACTTGGGAGTTAAACCTAAAACAATTAAGTCCCTAAACCTATAGGGTCAATGTTTGACACCTAGTTGAAGCCAGGGGAGATACATTCTCTTTGTATCTTTTTCTCATAATTTGGCTTTTTTCATTTTGTGACAATAAAAACAAAGATCATGTCAGTGTGTAAAATATCTAAAATACATGTGAAGGGAAACTGTTGTTAAAAGCAAATGCCTGAAATTAATTCTTATTGATTAATTAAGAGAAGTGATGCACCTGAAGGCAAGGATAAAGAACAAACATTTGTTGGACTGTCTTCTGAGGATGAAGAACTACTCAATCAGAAGTTACCTGGTGTCAGTACCACCTTCAATACTGAAAATGGAGCAGAGAAAAAGGTAGATTACTCAGTTAAGTGGATAGGTCCTTTGAAGGACTTGTTAGCCATGGGAATAATCATGGTTAAGGATAAAGTAAAAAATCTTTAATTGGGCAGTTGTCTGGCAAACTGTACCCTCCAACCCTCCAGCATACAAATGACATAAGGTTGTATTTTGCTTCAAAAAAGGAATGATGCAATTGTCATCAAGCCCTTTAAATGTCTGGTGTCTTTTTTTTATCCCTGTCCACAACTTTTACCCCAAAATAAAGTGTTTTCATCAGGTCATCCAAGGGCCTTTATGCTGCAGCCTTATTTTCAATTGTAGCTCACCTTACAGATGTGAAAGTTTTCAACCTGCATCACTCCTAATCAAATATGACAAAATCATCTTTCAGGAAAATAAAGAGGATCGTGAGCAGCCTTAACAGAGAACAATGCATGGATTTATGGATTTAACCTTGATAACAGCAACTAGAAATGTATTTGAAGGAAGAGACAAAAAAGGGCATCCTTGATGAGTCCAACCAGTGATTTGTAGCAGTTTGTGAATATAGATGTTACAAAAATTAATACAATGAAATTGTTCTGAAGGGAGTGTTGTTGTTACCAGAGTTAGCAGGTACATGCATTGTCAAACCTTGATTATGGGACCCTAATTATCCATTTTTTTTTTTTACTATCCTAACATGCTTCTCTAGTCCCATTATCTATGAACATTTTTATTTGTATTTTGGAATATCTGGACTTTTAAGCCCAGTCCTAACAAGTCCAGATAATCAAGGTTTGACCATACGAGTTAAAATAATGATACGACACTCTGTGTTTGAAAATGGAGCTGTAGACTATGTTTTGTGGATTTTACAAATTTAAATGAAAGTGTCTAAGAATAAATATTTTCTTATTTGAAAAGCTAGGGTTAAAATAATTCCCTTAAATGTGTGTGCAATAGTCATAGAAAATACGGTAAGAGAACAAACTAAAATATATCCTGGTTTACTTTGTGTAAGGGAAAGCTTACAGCAGGCATGCTACAACGAACACAATTCATTATCAGTCTTTACAGCACTTTTTGACTGTCTTTACAAAAAAATGAAAGTAATTACAACAGTCCATCAGAAGAAAGAAAACATCAATTTAAAATAAAATAAGACAGATCTACTGTCCTATGGGTAAGAAAGTACTAGTGAATAAGTGAGATCTTGTTTTAGAGCAGTTTTCAGTTGAGTGCAAAAAAGAAAAAAAAAACCAAAGGAAAAAAAAAAAAACAAGTAAGCACAACAGCCAATCAAAGTGAAGGTTGACCTCATCATTAGAAAATGAGAGCTTGAATTAGAAACAAGCAAACTGTATTAAATGTGGGAAGATGCAGGTGACCAAACCATGATTAGTTTTCGTTTTGAATCTTATTGGTTGGGAAGTTTTCTGAACCAGTTGCCATCACAATTACTTTTTGACCCTTTCCCCAAAGTAAGGGAAAATCAAGGCAACCCTGGAGTGCTTTTATCATTCAACGGAAAACTGCTTTAATTGACAAGCCTAGCATGGTTTGTTTGTAGTCTACTTTATAAGTTACACTCACTTCAGATGTTCTTCGGATGGAACCTCAGCAAAACAAAAACTGGAAATACTTTTAAAATGTTAAAGAAATAAGACGTTTTGTGAATATTGAATGAAATGAACAGATAAGAATTAAAAATAGTGCTCTAAAGCGAGCGTGGGTTTAGATAACTTCAAACCTAATTCTGTAAGAGGCCATCTTGGTCTTAGGAGAAGAAGAAAGAAAGTTTATCACGAGAAGTCAAGTCTTTTTCTCTACCCATGTTCCATTTTCAGGGCAAAGTTTACCCTGTGGTTCATCTGTACGTGACAGTCCTTTAAATTTGGTTTTCGCTGTTTCAAACTGGTTTTCCAAGAGTACTATACTGCCCAAAATAGATAAGAAAAAAGTTGGGTCAATTCGAGGTTCGACAATCGCATTTACCGTTACATGTAATAGCAGAACAACGTTCGGTATTTTAAAGAAAAAATAAAAACCTTTCTTGTTTACGAGATGCTGTTTTTTTATAAACTGATTTGGTTTACAAATGCCGTACATCCTAAATTTTCAACTGCAAGTATTGATTTGCTGTGGACAGTTAAAGTGGAGAGGAATTACAGGTTGTGAGAACTACGAGACAACTCTGGTTTGCACAAACGTTGAGTTATAACGATTCAACGATACTGCCTACCGAATCGTTGTGGAACTCAAACGTAAGCCAGTAGTCACGGTTTGGTACAAAAAATTTGAATATCACGAGGATTGGTCATATTTCTGTCTCCCTCACAATCTTCCACTTTCCTCTCGCGTCTTTCGTTAGCCATTTTTCATTGTGTTTCAAGCTTTGAGCGTCCTCCGAAAAGAAATCTGATTCACACAGTGCTTGTGAAAAATACTGCAAGCTTTCAATCAGTTGACTTGCAGCGATCACATCCTTGTACTGTCTTTTGGGAAGGCTTGCCTGCATATTATAAAAAAACTTCTCTACAACATCTGTGAAGTGAAAGTCGCTTTCAACCTTATTTCTAACGACTTCTGGGCAAACATCGTAGCTTAGTAGTCGCCATATTGAAAACTTGGTACCGGACAAATTTGTAACTTTTCCAGTATCTTCAAACTCTGGGAATTGTTGCATTTGTGGCAATATTTCCTTGTTTTCAGAGCACGAGTTCACGATAAATTCTCCTGGTTCCAGATTGACTTCAGGATGATTGGCTGACAGAACAGCATAAATGTCGCCGTCTTCATTTTGGCGGTCGACAAGCTCTATCCCAGTTCGAAATTTCCAAGCATACCGAAATGCGTACACGTCAACGTTTTTCTCTTCCCCATTGATTGATAAGCTGAATCTTCCTATGAGTTCTCGATATTCTGGCGCGGTCATTTTAGCTTCATTGCATGCATAAAAAAAACAAATTCAAAGTTTAAATTTTCAAACTAAAGGCGGCAACGTAGTGCCCCAGTCTCTCTCCACAATGGAGAAAGACAATGAACTGGCAACAAATGTTCCATGTATTTTTTTCAGTTTGCCTTAACTAACGTAGCATCCGGCTATAAAACTCACATAGTTACTTTTTGTATTCATCTTAGCATCAATCACATGTCAAGAATTCCATTCCCCTTTCTCGCTACTTAGACTTTGTTGTTTACCTAATGATGACTGGTTTTTTGACAACTCAGATGCAATGTGCCAGTTCTTCAGTTCGAAAAACGTGTCTACCATATTTCTGTTGTTCAAGCGGGCCACCACCGCCGACAGCCAACACTACAAACGTCACATAATTAAATACCGACCGCATTCCATTCAAGAATTTTGGGTAGAAAGTAAATGCAAGAAGCCCTAGGAGTGGTGATGGTGAGATTTTCTGCAGTGACCGGCAATTTATCATTCTTAAAAACTTTAAATTATTTCAAAACGATTCAGAGACAGGTACCTATCTTTTCCGATTCTGGAAACACCTTCGTAACGTAGAAAGGAAAGACAAGGACACATCCAAACCGGTCGCTAGACACTTTCATCTGATTTGTTTACTGTAGTTTTCGTCTCCGGGAAATTTTAATTCATTGGGTATTCCCTGTTAAGGCATCTAACCACAAATTGGATATGAGATGATAGATAGCCAACGACCCGTAGCGCCGAGTTGGCTATAATCATCTCATATCCAACAAGCGCGAGTGGAATAATTGTTTTATTAAAAACAATAAATTAAAGTATTAAATTTTATTAAATTTTTTAGCTCCTTTTAGTTTTAAGCTGATGCGTACGCTTACCATATTTGAAGATTATGGTATATTGGCTCATATACCAAAATGGCTAAGCCAATAAAAAGTCTTGAATTACATTATCCAATGATCCAGTTTTTAATAATTAGTGTTATTAAAAACTAGATCATTGGATAATGCAATTCAAGACTTTTTATTGGCTTAGCCATTATGGTATATCAGCCAATATACCATAATCTACAAATATGGTAAGCGTACGCGTCAGCTTAAAATCAAAAGGGAGCTAAAAAATCCAGTTTCTTCTTACAAAATAATAATTTCTTG